AAAGAGCTCATGTATATAAGGGGGGCAAATCTTGTTTCCAAACCAATGTGGGACAAAGTCCTACCTTTTCCCTTCATTTCCCAACTTAAATGGGTCTACTTTGAGAATCAATATCTCATTCACCCATTATCCGTTTTGAACGTACAATATATCAATCTCTTCGTCTTACTACGAAGAATCCGAATCCACTTTGACCCGACCCAAATCGGAAGTGGACCCCACTGATAATTGTACCACAAAATAGCCACTTAATATGCCATTTTATGCCATTTTAAGCTAATTTTTCCAACAGGTATGTCCTTTCATTTTGCAAGTTGAACATGTAACTCCATTACTTTTAAGCTCTAAAGCTCTTTTCATTCTGATAGATTGAGGACGACCTTTAGTAGTCACACGAGGAGGATCGCGCATTGCTACATTATTATCATCATCATCTTGATGACTTATCATGCTTGTCAAACAACCAGTGCTACTAGTTATGCCATCATCAATCTTCAATGCATCTAACTTTTTGAATAAACATTGCAAGCCTTCTATTGTGGTGTCATAATGCTTTTTTGAACGTGAAGCTTTTTCAGAAAGTTGTAATGAGTGAACCATGATATTATTAAACAATGTTGTTGAACACATATTGACATCACTCATCTCTTCTTTATTTGATGTGCTTGTAATTTCTCCCTTTTTAGCATCTGTTGTCCACCTTTTTAAAATGTAGTGCTTCGGTAAAGAGTACACATTTTTCTTGATAATAACCATCAACTAGTGTCTACAAAGGATGCCCAAAAATTCAAACATGTGACATGAGCACTCTATGGTTGTTGACGAACTCATGAATGTCACTATGTACTCTGATTTTTCTTTGTCAAACTCATGCACCCTATATACAGACTCATGCTCAATAGTAATAATTTTTCTGCAACAAATTGCTGAGAATGAATCAATTCGTCTTGAAACATTCTAAACATCTTTCTTGTATAAACCTTTGAAGCTTCTTCCTCCATTGGGTACAATGTCTTTAAGATAGGTTTTTAATTCAATGTTTTGAAGGTTTTCTCCCTTTCTTTATTGTACCTTGCGTCAAGAGCCTTGTCATATTGAACAACAAACTTACTTATTGGTGTATTAGCATTTATATAATCTTTAAAGTACTTATTCATACTTTCACTTCTTTAAGTAGTAGACATTCCAACACAAAAACTAGTACGTACATAAGCAGGAATCCATTTTTCACGAATGGAATACAACTTCTCAAGCCAACTATTTCCTCGTAAACCATACTTGTCAAGAATTTTTTCCCATTCTACTTCAAAGTCATTCGGGATATATATCCTATGGATACAATGTGAAAATTGAAACTTAAAATCATCAAACTTATGATAAACATGGCTAAGATTTTCAGAAAATTTTTTCTCAATATGCCACATGCAAAAATGATGTGCAGTATTTGGCAAGACCTTTGCAATTGCAGTAGTTATAGCTGTATCTTGATCTGTAATTATTGTTTTTGGATGGCATCCATCCATTGCTCCTAACCAAGTATTCAATAGCCAAACAAATGTTTCCACTGTCTCATCCCATAATAGAGCACAACCAAATAAAATGGACTGGTGATGGTGATTGGCTCCAGTGAAAGGAACAAATGACATTTTATACATATTTGTCAAATAAGTTGGGTCAAAAGTCACAACATCTCCAAAAAAATTTATAAGCCACTCTAGACCTTGAATCTACCCAAAAACAATTCGCTAGTTGACCTTTTGTGTCCATTTGTATTGCATAAAAAAATCCTGGATTTTTAGATTGACACTCCTTAAAATAATTCAACATTGCTTGTGCATCTCCTTTCTCAAGTTGGTTTTGCTTTTTGTTACTTAAATAATTTTGAATATCTCGCTCAGTACAACCGACCCTATCTATTCCTCCAGATTCAGTAACCAAAACTGACATTATTTTAGTAGGACGAATTCCAGATTCATCAAGCACGTCAATCAAATTCCTTTGAGATTTTTTCCTCTTTCTATGAACTCGATGAAATCGAGCACTACTAGGAGAAGCAAGCACATGATTATGATCTCTAGTAAATTTAGATATTATCCATTTGTCTTCGTCTTTTCTAGATACATAAATCATGGCTTTGCATCCCATGTGTTTCATCAGATGGAGGTTTTTTCCTATTGTCTCGCTCTAAATATTTTTTTGCACGGTAACCTTCTTTTGAACAAACAAACTCTTGTCCAATAACCATTTGATTCTTTCTAGACTTTTGTATGCGGTTTTTGCGAATTCCAAAACCTTCATGTTTTGCATAATTAGTATAGCACATTAAAGCATCATCTAGTGATTGAAACTCCATTCCAATACATAACTCTATTGTCTCATTATTCACATCACTCTTCGCATTTGCACTGGCATTTTGTTCAATCTTAACTATATTAAATTCACCACTATTCACTAATTCATCATGATTGCTTTCACTCAATTCTGTAGTAATTTCACAACCATGATCTTCTTCAATTTCGACTATATTATGGTCTTTATTATCATGGAAAGTAGTCATCATTAATCTATAAAGAAATATATAAAGGGATTAGAACACAAGTAAACCCATGAATAGGAGCATATTTCAGTTTAAAGACTATTGTCACCAAGTACCAAAATAGTAAAAAGAGAAAACATATGAGAGATGAAAAATATAGTCATTACAATGTTCATCATTGTTAGCCACTAACAAAATTATACATATTATGCTCTTAAAATTGAAGACCCAAAACGCATAAATCAAGTTACAAACTCAATCTTTTCACTTTATATCAAAACTATAGTTTTTTAGAGTTTACAAATTAAAATAATAATAATAATAATAATAATAATAATAATAATAATAATAATAATAATAATAATAATAACTTACAAGAGGCATTCAAAAAAAAAAAAAAACTTATAAGAGAATTTCAACAATAGAAAATAGATATAAAAAACAACTTACCTGAAGAGAACTCTTTACTAATAGAATACTGATAAAGATTCAGACAGAGAGAAACTATTGACAGGTTGGGTTCTTCTGACAGAGAAAATTTGGATTTTGATGAATATATTTTCTTACAAGATTTTGCAATTGTTTCTAATAGTGACTAAGGTTGTAATTTAAATTTAGGAGTTTAGAGGTTTAAATAAATTTAGGAGTTAAGATACATATAGAAAATTAGATGATTTTTATTAATTAAAATTAAAGTATTCTTAGTTATAAATATAATAATTTAGAAATAATTTCTTAAAACAAAAAAAGAAATAATTAGATAATGAAGGTATGTTGAATTTTTTTTTACAGGAATGATATTTAGAAATTTATTATTATTATTATTATTATTATTATTATTATTATTATTATTATTATTATTATTATTATTATTATTATAAGTGATACGTACAGGATTAATATTTGTGATACGTGATAATTAAAAATAAAAGAATGGGTTTCATTATTTCTAATTAGATAATTAAATATATAATAATTAAGTAACAAATATGTTTTGGAAAGTAGATATATTTTGTTAATTATAAATAAAAGAGTTTTCTAAAAGAATACAAGTCTTAGATATTTTGCAAAAAAGGACCCAATTAACATTGATTTTATTCTTTAATGATGTGTCATCTCCTTATTCACCGCCAGTGTATAGCATCTATACATTGGCGGTGTATCAAATATTAATCCATATTATATTAGGAAAAATACTTACAAAACACTCACTTAACAATGATAGATTAAAGAAATAGGTATGAAAGACCAAAAGGATAGGTTAATTGACTAAAAGACCTCTAATCAATTGTTCATTTATTACTCCGTACTTAGGGTTGGACACTTCGGATTTCGATTCGGTTTTTTTTTGGTTTCGGTTTTTCGGTTTTAAAAAAATTAAATCAGTCGGTTTAAAAATAGAGTTTGGTTCGATACGTATCGAGGATGGAAAATCCAAAATTTACAAGTATAGCAAGGCTAAATGGATAGAATAACAGCCTATCTAATAGTGTGATTCCAAAATATCCTCCCATCCCCTCTCTCTTGCAGCCAATCAACAAAATATATGGAGTTGTATTTTGTAAGATTTGAATGATTATCTATTGTGCCCCCATGCAGGATTGAACTACAGACCTTCAGTTTACAAGACTGACGCTCTACCACTGAGCTATAAGGGCAAGGTATTAACTACCAAACCAAACAGGAATGCACACATTTACTAAGGAGATTTCTTTTCTCCCTCAGATAATTGCTGAACCTGAGGGACCAGAAAGCAATGAAGGACAAAACCAACAAGAAAATAGTAAGCTAACTAGCCACATCGTTCAAAATAGGAAACAAAAATGCTCTAAGAGGAATACTTTTACACACTACAGCTACTGAGAAGTTCGGATTCGATTCATTCCTCCTATTTAATTTCTTGATAACCTGCATGAAATGAAACAACTATTGCATCATCAGGAACATTTCCGACAAGAGTGATAATACACATGATGAACTAAAAGAAGAACACAGAGGCAAGCTGGTCCACCTTCCCGATTCAATTCAAGAGCTTTTGAGTATTGCAGGTAACAAATCCTTAATTACTGATAAATATAATTTAACGAAAAAAAATTAAGTATGAATTAAAATGATTGGTTTATGCAATGAAACATTATATGCATGTGTCAAATCTTATTATGTCTTGAATGCAGAAAAAAGGTTTGGGAAGAAAGGAACTAAAGTTCTTATGGCTAATGGCTCCGAGGTGGAAGATATAGGTGATTTACGAGAAAATGATCATTTGTATATTTGTTGACTATAGTTTTGGCATTAAAACACCACATGCATCAGAGTCAAAGCAAATAGGAGAAAATACTCCTGTTCTTCAAAAGCTTTCTTCTTGTTCTCAATTGCAAACCATGTGAATGAAACAACAGGCATCGGCAGAGCTCCCCAAAATGGGATTTGATAGAAGCTAAACACCGTATTAGCCGGAGCACAATCTGGCTACTGATTACCCGGGGCTCGACGAAAAATGTTTTCCTTCTAGTCCAGACTCCAAAGCCTTGGCTTTGCACTTCAATTCCCCTAGTAATGACAGAAAAATTATTAAGTTTAAACAAAACTAGAAAGTAATTGGCAATTGCAAAAAGATAAAATGGAGTTTAAGTATAAGTTAGATAGATATATACATACCTTGGCTTTCATAAGTTTATATTAAGCCCAAAATTTAAAAATTCCTCAGTCACTTTCTTCTTAGAGATTACAACACTTTCCTGACCTCTTCAACTCTTTGAATGCATTCAGAGAATTCGACACCATCTTCTTCATATATTTCCTCACACTCTTCCGAGCTTTCAACCTTACTCGATCAGAGCTTCCAACACATAATTCTTTAGAGCTTCCAAAACTTGATTCTTTAGAGCTTGTCACACTTTCTTCTTCAAAGCTTTCCACACTTTCTTCTTCAGAGCTTTCCACACTTTCTTTAGAGCTTTTCACACTTTCTTCTTCAGATCTATCCACATTTTCTTCTTCAGAGTTTTCATTATCTCGCAATTCAACCTTGAAAAGTAATTGAAAATGAGTACAACAATAAACAATTAAATTAATACATGGAATTAGAAGGCAGTAAACTAATATTTTGAAATAATAATGAACAAGAATTAGAGAGAAACCTTAGTTCTAACTTCACGAACACGAAGTGGACAATCTATCGTTCCCTCAAACAATAACTTCTTTGTAGAGGAAATCTGCATTGCAGAAGTCACAAGAAAAGAATAACAACATTCCAACACAATTAACTTCAGTGTTCCAATATTTGCAAAATTAATTGGAACTTGTTTCAATTCCAAACAATATCTTAACACTAGGCGCTCCAAAATTGGCAAACGATTAGAATTTGCATTCCAATATTTGAGATTTGAACGTGAAATGAGAAGTGCCTTTAATTGCCAAAAGCCCTGTTTCGATGGTTCCCACTTTGAGCCACAGAACGCGAAATCTTTTAGTTTAAGCACCTCAAGGTGTGGCAACTTGCCAATTGTGTCCATCTCTTTCCATGGAAGATAAGTATAACGAAGTGTCAACTTTTTAAGGTTTGGGGGAAAACCAATTGGAAGATAAAAGCGCTCAACTCTTCCTACTTCAAACTTCAACTTCTCAAGTAGATGTAAATACACAAGGCTCCCTAGATAGCTAGGCGTCAGTTGGCCTTCAATGTAAATCCCAAGTTCCTTAAGGTTTGGATCCATTCTAAAGTTTGATTTTTTGCCGGAACTAGCAACTTTTAACCAATAAAGAGTTCGTAGATTTTTTTTGACTAAGTGAGGGAGATACTGTGAACATCTCTTGTCAACATGCAAATGCCTCAATCGTGGCAAACCCAAAATATCACATGGCAGATGCAAAGGACATTTTTCGATCCACGAAGTAACTATGAGAGTTTGCAAATTTTTAAGCTTGAAAAATCGAAGCTTGTAAAGAGAACCAATGGCACTTAAAGCCAAGTATCTCAAATGAACCAAATTCGTTATTTCACTAGGCATGCATTGTGACCATTTAACTAATGATAAATCCAATACTCTTAGCAATTTCAAACCTGGGTATACCAACCTACATTTTGAATAGTATACACCTGTACTAAAGCAGAGAGCGGAATGGATTTTATCAGGAGTGCAAATCCCATAACTCGCTTGAGTGATTGGCCAATAACTTGTTTGACAGCTTAACCAACGACTAGCTTTTGGAGCATGATTGTCATTGATAATGCACAAAGTATTCCCTTTTATTGCTTCTCTCACACAAACCTCATGCACTCGATCATGAACTTTACATTATTTAACTTTGCCATCAATACTCACCTCATTAATTTGAACTAGACTTCTGTTAATGAGATCATCCAAGTAACTCTCTGCCACTTCTTCCAAACTCATATTTTTATGTGGCATAATAAATCCCTCCGCAACCCATAAGCTAATTAGTCTCTTAATAGGAATGACGTTGTCTTCAGGAAACACACCAAAATAACGAAAGCAAGCTTTCATGTGAGTAGGTAAGTAGTTGTAGCTCAATGAAAGCGTTGTTGAAATTCTGTTGTTATAATCATATGTATCAACTCTATCCAAAGTTTCCGCAACATCTTTCCATATTTCTAGAGACTCTTTTGTTGTTGCGAAAAGTCCAGCAATCACAACAACAGCTAGTGGTAATCCACTGCAACCAAGAACAATCCATTTCCCAATTAACTCATATTCCCTGGGAACGCATTGGCTTTGCCCAAACACTTTTATTGAAATTAATTCCCAACGATCCTTTAAAGTTTGATACTTCACATGGTAGGGATCTGCACTTAAGTATTTAGCCACCTCTGCAAACCGAGTAGTTACTAAGATTCGGCTTCCATTAGAATTCTTTAGAAAACATCCTTGGATGGCATCCCATGCAGCAGTGGTCCATATGTCATCTAAGAAAATTAAATACTTCTTGCCCATCAAACTTCTGCATAATTGCTCAGCTATCTGAGCCTCATCTATGTTGTAGATTTCACTAGTGATTGGTGAAATACAACGTAATAGACCAATGAGCATCTCTTTGAGGTTATGAACCTGAGACACAACTACCCATGCTCGAATGTGAAAGCTACCAATAATAATTGGATGTCCATAGACTCTTTTGGCTAATGTAGTTTTTCCAATGCCTCCTTCCCCAACGAGTGGCATAACTTGTAGTTTTAGCACAGTGTTTTCAACATATTTCCCACACTTGTGAATGCTACTATTCTTCAAAATGGTGAAAACTGAACTCTCGGAGTATAAAAAAGTGAGCCGCTTTATTATTGTCTCTATATCACTGTCGAATCCTACAATCACTTCATCCTCAGCCTCTAAAGCATTTTGGTAGGTATCCCAAACTGTGAAGTTCTCTTTTTCAGGCTCTAAAGTAGTTATATCTTTTAACAACATGATCAATTTTCCAGCTTCTTCAATATCTCTTACTACTTGTTTCAAGGTCAAATGAAGTTCAGAAGCCACAAATGCAGACTCTCCCAAGTTAACTCCAAAATATACCATTCTCAGTTTAGATTCTATTCTGTAATTTTCATATATTCTAGCAACTTTATCTCGGATTGCTTCATACAGTATCTTAGCGCAGGTGTCCCCGTGATTCATTTTCGTCTTACATTCCTCCAAAAAGTCTTGCACAAAGTAGAGCTTGGCAGACAACAACTTGATTGTTTCAAGCAGTGAAGCATCAAAACACGAAAGTAGTTTGGGCTCCATAAGGTCTTGATCTACTATTTTGATTAGAGTGGTTACAGCATCAAAATCCATTGAACTTGAACCTCTCTAAAGTGTTTCTGGCGGCCAGAACTCATATCAGGCTTATTACTCTCAATTATTGAACAAGAAATGGAATGATTATAACAGAGATGGTGCATGCATGCAAGATGGGTTAAAATCTAATCGAGGTAATACCTAATTTAGCCATGGATTATAGTAATTTTTCTCGATTTAGTCATAAATGTCTTTTTGTGCTTAATTAGGTCATCGACGACTTTGATGATTTTACTCAATTGAGTCTTCTGTTAAGGTAGCTTGGTAATTTCACCTCTATTAATACTCAATTTATTCATCAACTATTATAGTTTTACCCAATTTAGCGTTCGATTATAGTTATTTTACCCAATTTAGTCATCAACTATAGTCTTTTTTTTTTTTTTTCAATTTAGTCCTTGATTCTTATAGCCAAGGACTCAATTACGTAAAACCATCAAATTAAAGTTCAGGACCTAATTAAGCACAAAAAGTCATTTACCACTAAATCGAAAAAAAAAACAACTCTAGTCGAAGACTAAATTGAGTATTAACTCAAATCTAATATGCTGAATTATATATAGTATCCTCAGCAAAATCATTGCATCTTCTAGCTACCTAGTTTCTAAACTTCATGTGATTCAACAGAAAATGCAAAGTTTGTTACCATTACCAGTTTTTCAATTATTTATATGCTGATGGGCTAATATATATATATATATATATATATATATATAAGCCTTCATGAATATTTTCATATATAGTGAACACAATTAAAATATCTAGTATATATAAAATTATTAAATTTTATAGTGAATAAACATGTAGCAAAAAACAAAGGAATTGAGAGGGAAAATGTAATGGTGAGTGAGTTATGCTAAAGTGTATCAAAGTAAAAAAGGAATTCTTCAGTCAAGCAAGAGAAAGTATGAAACATACCTTGAAGAGGCTATGGTCGAGATGGAGTTAGTGAATTGGGTTTGGGTAATATCAGATGAGAGATTGAAGGTCTGAGTTAGTTGTTAAAATTATCAAGTGTTTCTGAAACTCAGATGAAATGTGTGGAGTATAGCAGCAATGATGAGATATGGTATAAGGTCTGAATTATTGATGCATGGGATTTAACTTTTTAATGCAGCAATGATAAAGGATGGGATAAGGTCTGAATTATTGATGGGATTTAACTTTTTCTTGGAGGAATGATAAAAGATGGGATAAAGGTCTGCATTATTGATGGGATTTAACTTTTCATTCAGCAATGATGAAAAATGGGATAAGGTCTGAATTATTGATTGGATTTAACTGTTCATTTTTGTAGGGGATAAAGTACAAATAAGCTACAGAACTATTTGGGAAACAGCAATTAAGTATTTAAGTATCAAACTCAAATAATCTTCAAATAAGCCACTGAACCCTTAAAAAAAAAAAGAGCAGGTTAACTTCCTATTTTTGTTGACTGGATTGCCACATATTTATTTTATTTTATTATTTATTATTATTATAATCTACATGGATTATATCACTTTATTATTATTAGTAACGGAATATTTCGTTAACTATTTATTATTCTTAACTTATTCATTAATTTCTATAAGAAAGATCTTAGGTTCGAACCTCATCCCAATTAAAGTTGATATAATTGTTAAACATATACTACGAATATGTTAAAATGTATTAAAAATAATATAAAATTTTCTTGCATTTACAAAAAAAAAACAAATTTATGTTAATTTTTTTTTTCTTTTCGTTTAATTAATCTTCTTTTGATTATTTAGAACAAAACTTAATATTTCAATTATATGATTTGTATTATTGGAATGATTTAGGTCATTATGTTATTAATATTTTTTGTATGTATTTTTATTATGGTACAATTGTACATTACTTTACAAATATTATACTATTATTTTTTTTATCTCACACAATTGTTCTTATATCATTGTCAGACCAGAGCAACCAGAGTTTTATCAATGCACGAAAACTTCTAAAGAAAGTTGCAAGTTAATTTTTACTATATCATTATAACAATATTTATTGTAACCATATATTTTGAATTATTTATTATCATCCTCTATCGATAGCAATTGTAGCAATTGTCATTAACAAACTCTCAAAACAATTTGTCTCAATAGCGAATGGCAATTAAAAAAAAAAGTGATTTCATTAT